GATGTACGAAAAACATTGATTTTTCAGAAAAATTGTCTGTTTTTATACCTTTTTTGCTTGGTATAACTTTAATCAGAAGCTTGAAACGCTGTGAAGGAATCATTTCCGACCCTACAAACCATATATATTCTTGATCAGCATCAACAGCCCAGTCGTTCTAGCAATGTCCGATCCAAAAATAAATTTTTGACATGTTTCCGAAAATTGAAAATTTTATAAGGGGTTACATCATTAAAATTGCCAAAATCTGACAAAAAATTGAATTGTTTAAATTTGAAAACTGAGTATGCAGCTTTATTAATCTACTTAAAATTAGCATAGGACAGCTTTCCGAATTAAAATTAATGATTTTTCGGCTTAGTTGCGAGTTTTTTTAAACTATGATTTTTGGGAAAAATTGTTTGTTTTTATACCTTTTTGGAGGTTTTTATGGTTTTAGTAAAAAACTGTCAATAGCATCAACAAACGCAGTATGCATATTTGTTAGTGCAATAAAAAGTAGCACAGAAAAGCTTTCCGAATTAAAATCAATGCAAATTCGGCTTAATTATGATGTCCGAAAAACATTGATTTTTCAGAAAAATTGTCTGTTTTTATACCTTTTTTGCTTGGTATAACTTAAATCAGAAGCTTGAAACGCTGTGAAGGAATCATTTCCGACCCTACAAACCATATATATTCTTGATCAGCATCAACAGCCCAGTTGTTCTAGCAATGTCCGGTCAAAAAATAAATTTTTGACATGTTTCCGAAAATTGAAAATTTTATAAGGGGTTACATCATTAAAATTGCCAAAATCTGACAAAAAATTGAATTGTTTAAATTTGAAAACTGAGTATGCAGCTTTATTAATCTACTTAAAATTAGCATAGGACAGCTTTCCGAATTAAAATTAATGATTTTTCGGCTTAGTTGCGAGTTTTTTAAACTATGATTTTTGGGAAAAATTGTTTGTTTTTATACCTTTTTGGAGGTTTTTATGGTTTTAGTAAAAAACTGTCAATAGCATCAACAAACGCAGTATGCAGATTTGTTAGTGCAATAAAAAGTAGCACAGAAAAGCTTTCCGAATTAAAATCAATGCAAATTCGGCTTAATTATGATGTACGAAAAACATTGATTTTTCAGAAAAATTGTCTGTTTTTATACCTTTTTTGCTTGGTATAACTTAAATCAGAAGCTTGAAACGCTGTGAAGGAATCATTTCCGACCCTACAAACCATATATATTCTTGATCAGCATCAACAGCCCAGTCGTTCTAGCAATGTCCGGTCCAAAAATAAATTTTTGACATGTTTCCGAAAATTGAAAATTTTATAAGGGGTTACATCATTAAAATTGCCAAAATCTGACAAAAAATTGAATTGTTTAAATTTGAAAACTGAGTATGCAGCTTTATTAATCTACTTAAAATTAGCATAGGACAGCTTTCCGAATTAAAATTAATGATTTTTCGGCTTAGTTGCGAGTTTTTTAAACTATGATTTTTGGGAAAAATTGTTTGTTTTTATACCTTTTTGGAGGTTTTTATGGTTTTAGTAAAAAACTGTCAATAGCATCAACAAACGCAGTATGCATATTTGTTAGTGCAATAAAAAGTAGCACAGAAAAGCTTTCCGAATTAAAATCAATGCAAATTCGGCTTAATTATGATGTCCGAAAAACATTGATTTTTCAGAAAAATTGTCTGTTTTTATACCTTTTTTGCTTGGTATAACTTAAATCAGAAGCTTGAAACGCTGTGAAGGAATCATTTCCGACCCTACAAACCATATATATTCTTGATCAGCATCAACAGCCCAGTTGTTCTAGCAATGTCCGGTCAAAAAATAAATTTTTGACATGTTTCCGAAAATTGAAAATTTTATAAGGGGTTACATCATTAAAATTGCCAAAATCTGACAAAAAATTGAATTGTTTAAATTTGAAAACTGAGTATGCAGCTTTATTAATCTACTTAAAATTAGCATAGGACAGCTTTCCGAATTAAAATTAATGATTTTTTGGCTTAGTTACGAGTTTTTTTAAACTATGATTTTTGGGAAAAATTGTCTGTTTTTATACCTTTTTGGAGGTTTTTATGGTTTTAGTAAAATACTGTCAATAGCATCAACAAACGCAGTATGCAGATTTGTTAGTGCAATAAAAAGTAGCACAGAAAAGCTTTCCGAATTAAAATCAATGCAAATTCGGCTTAATTATGATGTACGAAAAACATTGATTTTTCAGAAAAATTGTCTGTTTTTATACCTTTTTTGCTTGGTATAACTTAAATCAGAAGCTTGAAACGCTGTGAAGGAATCATTTCCGACCCTACAAACCATATATATTCTTGATCAGCATCAACAGCCCAGTCGTTCTAGCAATGCCCGGTCAAAAAATACATTTTTGACATGTTTCCGAAAATTGAAAATTTTATAATTAAAATTGCCAAAATCTGACAAAAAATTGAATTGTTTAAATTTGAAAACTGAGTATGCAGCTTTATTAATCTACTTAAAATTAGCATAGGACAGCTTTCCGAATTAAAATTAATGATTTTTCGGCTTAGTTGCGAGTTTTTTTAAACTATGATTTTTGGGAAAAATTGTTTGTTTTTATACCTTTTTGGAGGTTTTTATGGTTTTAGTAAAAAACTGTCAATAGCATCAACAAACGCAGTATGCAGATTTGTTAGTGCAATAAAAAGTAGCACAGAAAAGCTTTCCGAATTAAAATCAATGCAAATTCGGCTTAATTATGATGTACGAAAAACATTGATTTTTCAGAAAAATTGTCTGTTTTTATACCTTTTTTGCTTGGTATAACTTAAATCAGAAGCTTGAAACGCTGTGAAGGAATCATTTCCGACCCTACAAACCATATATATTCTTGATCAGCATCAACAGCCCAGTCGTTCTAGCAATGTGCGGTCAAAAAATAAATTTTTGACATGTTTCCGAAAATTGAAATTTTATAAGGGGTTACATCATTAAAATTGCCAAAATCTGACAAAAAATTGAATTGTTTAAATTTGAAAACTGAGTATGCAGCTTTATTAATCTACTTAAAATTAGCATAGGACAGCTTTCCGAATTAAAATTAATGATTTTTTGGCTTAGTTACGAGTTTTTTTAAACTATGATTTTTGGGAAAAATTGTCTGTTTTTATACCTTTTTGGAGGTTTTTATGGTTTTAGTAAAATACTGTCAATAGCATCAACAAACGCAGTATGCAGATTTGTTAGTGCAATAAAAAGTAGCACAGAAAAGCTTTCCGAATTAAAATCAATGCAAATTCGGCTTAATTATGATGTACGAAAAACATTGATTTTTCAGAAAAATTGTCTGTTTTTATACCTTTTTTGCTTGGTATAACTTAAATCAGAAGCTTGAAACGCTGTGAAGGAATCATTTCCGACCCTACAAACCATATATATTCTTGATCAGCATCAACAGCCCAGTCGTTCTAGCAATGCCCGGTCAAAAAATACATTTTTGACATGTTTCCGAAAATTGAAAATTTTATAATTAAAATTGCCAAAATCTGACAAAAAATTGAATTGTTTAAATTTGAAAACTGAGTATGCAGCTTTATTAATCTACTTAAAATTAGCATAGGACAGCTTTCCGAATTAAAATTAATGATTTTTGGCTTAGTTACGAGTTTTTTTAAACTATGATTTTGGGAAAAATTGTCTGTTTTTATACCTTTTTGGAGGTTTTTATGGTTTTAGTAAAATACTGTCAATAGCATCAACAAACGCAGTATGCAGATTTGTTAGTGCAATAAAAAGTAGCACAGAAAAGCTTTCCGAATTAAAATCAATGCAAATTCGGCTTAATTATGATGTACGAAAAACATTGATTTTTCAGAAAATTGTCTGTTTTTATACCTTTTTTGCTTGGTATAACTTAAATCAGAAGCTTGAAACGCTGTGAAGGAATCATTTCCGACCCTACAAACCATATATATTCTTGATCAGCATCAACAGCCCAGTCGTTCTAGCAATGCCCGGTCAAAAAATACATTTTTGACATGTTTCCGAAAATTGAAAATTTTATAATTAAAATTGCCAAAATCTGACAAAAAATTGAATTGTTTAAATTTGAAAACTGAGTATGCAGCTTTATTAATCTACTTAAAATTAGCATAGGACAGCTTTCCGAATTAAAATTAATGATTTTTTGGCTTAGTTACGAGTTTTTTTAAACTATGATTTTTGGGAAAAATTGTTTGTTTTTATACCTTTTTGGAGGTTTTTATGGTTTTAGTAAAAAACTGTCAATAGCATCAACAAACGCAGTATGCAGATTTGTTAGTGCAATAAAAAGTAGCACAGAAAAGCTTTCCGAATTAAAATCAATGCAAATTCGGCTTAATTATGATGTCCGAAAAACATAGATTTTTCAAAAAATTGTCTGTTTTTATACCTTTTTTGCTTGGTATAATTTAAATCAGAAGCTTGAAACGCTGTGAAGGAATCATTTCCGACCCTACAAACCATATATATTCTTGATCAGCATCAACAGCCCAGTCGTTCTAGCAATGTCCGGTCCAAAATAAATTCTTGACATGTTTCCGAAAATTGTAAATTTTATAAGGGGTTACATCATTAAAATTGCCAAAATTGACAAAAAATTGAATTGTTTAAATTTGAAAACTGAGTATGCAGCTTTATTAATCTACTTAAAATTAACATAGGACAGCTTTCCGAATTAAAATTAATTTTTATGGTTTAAGTCAAAAACTGTCAATAGCATCAACAAAAGCAGCTTTGCAAATGCAGTTTCGGCTTAATTATATCTTGTTTATTTAAATTTATTAGTTCTGGCATTAAATAAAAGTAACTGATAAGTATGTGATTTATTAAACTCTTTTTTGAGGTCTCTACAGAATATTTGGCTCTGTCTTTGAACATTTTATTCAAAATATAATATTAAAATTATATCAGAAATCGTAATAAATCGTTACTCTATATAAAAGTTGGTTTAAAAGTATATAATTTTATAATAATTCTTAATAACTCATTATATTAAATTTGCTACCGATCCATGAGTCTTCAGTAGTCAGATATTTGTAATCTCCTGTAAAATAAAACGATTAATAAATTTTCCTTCAAATGATTCAGTTCCGAAACGATTCACACAAACCATGCAGCTCCAAACTTGACCATCAACCTTCAGAATCAGCTCCTTGACAATCTAAAATAATGACTAATATTAATGCGGTGAACTTTTGCTTAAAAGTAAGACGAAAGAGTATTAATCAAAAGCCATATTTACCTGCATTCAAAGTGCACTTCAGACAGAAGAAAAAGATGAGGGAAACGACGACAAAGTCCAAGTGGAGACACTTTGTCTGGTTTGACTACCTGTTGGATGGGCACACCGTTGGAAGCGTGGAAGAGGCTGCCCGACTCATCCAACGGATAAGAATCTTACTCAATGGATCGAAAATGAATGAATCAATTTCATACCAAAATCAAGTTTATTTTTGTCTTAATGTCGGTGAATCGAGAATGCATCGGCATTTGGGCTTTCCACATCTGAAATATCAAGAAGATTAACCGTAAGATAAAGAGTTTCCGGTCAAACAAAATAAATGACACAACGATGTTGACAACAGTGATGATTGGCAGTAAAGGGATGTGTTATTTAGTTTAGAATACTTAAGGAAATATTTTTGGTTTAGTTTAGAGTGCTGAATTTTTATGTTTTAATCAATGCTTTGATGTTGAGAATTCTCTTGAGTGAACCATACATAAACATACATATATATTAAAATGATCTTCATAGATCTTGTTCAAATATATAAATTGGCTACTCATAAATTTCATATAATAATAATGGTAATTAGCTAATTTACATCTCTTTTAAAACTTTTAAATCGTTTCTTTTGATTCGTCCACCTCTCCAGGCTGCACTGTATCGAGCGGCAAATGATTCCAAAACAAAAGAACTCCTAAATGAAGGCCCAATAATACATTTGGGCTGTTGAACGGGCATACAGACCAAATAAACACGTCGGTTTCCATTCGTTCCCCACACTTCACAGCCAGCTAATTAATGACGTTGGTCCAGTCCCCAGTCCCCAGTCCCCGATCGGTATATAGAGTGCAGGGCCCTAAAGACTGATGCCATTTTGGTTTTCATTGTCGTTTTCGTTACTCAGGGCTCTTATGCTTCCCGGACTGGAGTTGGATCGGCGGATCGGTGACGGTGTCGTAAGTGAAGTGCCAATAAACACGTGATTTACTTAACGTGGGCTCTCGGGATCTCATTCTCTCTCTCTCTCTCTCTCTTGGCCTGGCGGGGACAGTCGAAAATCATGGCCCTTATCGCTGCCATCGGCCATCAAGATGCCGCTCATTAATTTTAAAATTAGGCGGGTTTTCAAGAAGAGTCCAAGCCGGAGAAATGATGTCCACCTTTTGGCCGAAGACCGACTAAACTGGCCAGCTCCCCCATTCCTCGATCCCTCAACCCTCAGCTCCTCACCCGATCCCCGATGCACTGCGACCGACCATGAGTGCATAAATTAATTAAGTCGGCCGGAATGGGAACGTGTCGACCTTTTGTCTGGCATTGTGGCGAAGATGGCGGCCCTCGTATTCTGGCCACAGATACTCTCGTACATGTGCTGGGGCCCCAAAGCCGTAGGACGTTGTAAATTAAAAGCCAGGCCGCGGCACAACGCGGGTCCTTTATATATGCAGCTCCGCGGCAGACTGAGTCATTTGCATTTTGCCATCCGTTGGCCGGTCTCTCGGTCGGTTGGCTTGGCCAGCCCAGCCTGATTATGAAAGATGCTGCGTGGGTGATAAATGGTCGTTGTCAGCGGTCTAAACCCCTCGACTGTTGCACTTTCAGGGCGTAGTGGAGGTCCAGGGTGTCCTGCGGCTTTCAACCCCCTCGTTAACCAAAGTTAACCCCTTTTCGCTGAGCTCTCTGAGCTGAGCTTCATCCCTCTCGAATGCTGACAAGGGCCGTGGACCGGAGCCAATGCCAAAAAAGGCAACACACAAATCTAATAGATCCCGATTGAGATTTAATTATTTCACTTAATTTTCTGGCTGACTTCGTGCTGCCTCACAAGTTAATGAAGCGAATAAATTTCTTGGCAATTATTCTGCGGACTGTTTTAATTGACCGCAAGATGGCCCGACTTGGAATCGGACTCTTGACTCCCTGACTGACTGGCCGGGGCAATCAAAGGGATAAGACGTTGAAGGACGCAGCAGGAGCTGGCTAATTAACTAATTGGCAAGTCATTAACTTATAAGCCAGAGGGATTCCAGCTCCTATTTCCAGCTTATTGAGTAGCAGCTCAAGCTTCACCTGCAATTTGTGGCTGTCTCTATGTCTTTTGTTGGCTGACTTTTTAAGATGAACTTGGAGTTATCCCTCCTCCTCCTCCTCCGAGAACGACCTGGTTTATGATGAGTGATTGTTATGAGTTGTCAAAAAGGCATGTGTGTCTGGGTCTGGGCCTGGGTCTCTCCCAGTTAAGCAGGAAATCCAGCAGGATCTGCGAGAGTATGCCGCGTCAACATATGCAAATAGACTTGTCTAAAGGTGGCCAGCGTGGTGCATATATTCCACCCTCGCAGGGATATATGTGTATATTTCCTAGGAGTACGAGGTAAGAGGTACGAGGCTGTCGACACCGCCCCTTGATAACAATCAACCCTATGTGGCGGCTTCGGCGGAGTTTACTTTAATGTTTTGACAGTAAAATAAACATATCCAAGTGGATGGCAAAAGGTGGGTGGTTTTTTGGTGCGCATGCACGAGTACTCGATGCCCTACCTCTTGGTACTACGAGGTACACACATGTTAATGCCACAGCCGAGAGGGTTCCAAGCACATAGATGTCAAATATAATTCATCATTCTGCTTTTGGGGGGAAAACATCAAAGCCAGCCTCTGCAAGGACGAAGGACACACAGGCACAACCGGCATAAGCAAACACAAAGTCGCCAACAGCATCATTATCATCAGTCCGGGCGAGTGTTTTTGTCCGGTCAAGTGAACCAAGTCAAAATCCGGAGCACAGTCTGTCTGGGGTGTTGAATTGAAACTATAGCTCTCAGAAAGGACACTGAGAAAAAATAGGAACTGGGGATTGCTTTAAGGAAGTGTTGTTATCCGAGAAAACATTTAAGAACTTGAGGTATTGATAAGGTCCTTGATAAACTCAAAATCAAATTCTTAAGCTCTATGAAAGCTAAAGTAATTAGTAGCATTCGAAAGTTATGACAAAAAACAACCCTTTTCCGACCCGAGGATAATATTGTCCTGCAGTGTACTATATTTTTCCCTAGTGCAAGCAACTTATTTCTGAACTTTGAATTGGCATCCCAATAGCAAGTAACAGATAAAAACAAGACCATTTTTTCCCCAATTCACCAACTTAGTTAAGGCTCGTTTTTGGAGCAAGGTTCACCGCAGGGCAAAGAGCGGCACTTAGGTCGAAGGATTCGCACGACGTCCTTTTAAATAATTAATGTCAATTAAGGGACGAATCTAACTTTGGCCATCAGTTGAAATGAAGGACTGTAGTACCGCTCTCTTACCTGTTTCGTGCTAACGGAACTGCCTGATGCCTGATGCCGGATGCCGGGGCTGTCTGTCATAAATATTTTATAACATCAATTACCAAGCACTTAACTTTCATGAATTTAATACGAAATACGGTGCTCCTGCTCCTGCTCCTGTTTCCGATAGCAGACACTCATTTATCTTGTGTGCCAATGGCGGGCAATCAACACTCCACTCCACGTCAACTTTTTTTCTCTGTTCAAGACAAGTGTAAGCCGACGCAAAGAACACACATCTGCACACATATGCTTATAGTGTGTGGCTATCGAATCCTGGTCCCGGTCCAGGATCGGTCACCCCTTAAAAGGGACAACAACAAAAAAAACAAGGCGGTAGCAGCAAATGCCGTGATTTACTTCCCCTTTGGTGCAAGAAATCCCGAATAAAATAAAATTAAATACGCATCAGGAGCACAAGTGCTCCAGTCTCGTGGCCCGCGGCCAGGTCGTGAGCCCCTCGTCTGGCTGATAAAAACAATATCAATAGCCCCCGGGAAACACACACACAAGTACACCCTCCCCCTGGCAAACACGGAGAGGACCAGCGTCTGGCCCAAGATTTGGAGGCAGTCGTCGTCCTAAGCCCGGAGTCTCACTGTATCGGATGAAGGCGGCGCGTGCCGGTGACGCACAATTCCCCCATTGATATTCATGGTCGATTTTCGGGCCGATATACTCCCTTCCCCCATGTCCCCGTTGTTCCCGGGCGAAAGCGGAAAACAAAACGGTGCCCACATAAATAAATAAAATTTATGGCAGCTAGCATCGGTGAGCCGTCCCAATTGGATTTCAGATTCCGGATTTCGGGGCACTTGTCCATATATATATAGTGGGGCTTTGATATGCCCGATTATTTCTATTTGATTGTTTGATTAGATCGGAGGGGTAGCAAATCCGGCGAAATGTGGCTAAAATAACAGGCCGCTTAGTGGCATATGTTGACTAAGTTAGTACCTTGTATGTGAAAGTGATTAATACGATTTACGAGACACTAATAAAAATATCGTAAGGAAAGGCAGAGATTTTGATAGCAATATTAATTGTGTTGTATAAAAATGTACTTAACCATGTTTAAATATTATACCTACAGATGTTTCTAAATAATATTAGTAATGTTTCTTATAAATGGAAAGTCATTTTGATACCCAGTACCCATAAAATACATTCCTATTGAAGCCTAATGAAAGCCGCTAGATGCAGCTAGCAGAAGATATCCTTAGACCCAAAAATTATATATTTTTTGATACTAATAAGAAATCAAATTAACAAGATACCTCCTTCTTGGCTATAGTAGATAATGGAAAAGAAGTGGGTATAAATTTGGTATGACAAACAAAGGTATTTCCTGGTAAAAATATTATATAATATTATCTACATTATTTGATATTAGTAAAAATAATATATGAATATGCTTAAAGTTCATATACATTCATTTTCTTGAACATTATATCCTTCAAAATACAGATGTTTCAATCTTGTACCATTAATATTCCTTCTAATTCGAATGGCATTTTTCTACTCATTTCGGTAACTATTAATTTCAATTAAATGAGCAAAGGAAACAAAACCCCCCCTGGACAGTGATCCCCTTGAACTCGTATTTAACTAATCTGGCTACAAGGACACACACCCCCGCGGTGAAGGATTGATTTCCAGGCCTCCCCCAAACACTCTTCACTTGCTACTCCAAAGTCAGAGAGGGCTCTAAAGTCTCGGTTTATCTAAATGCTGCATTGTATTGCTAAAGTGTCCCCTGAGATTTTCCGAGGCGTTGAAGCGTGCCACCCCGGTTTTCGGGCCAAACAAAATGCAGTGGTTTCCGGTTCGCCAGCGACCCCAGGAACGCTCTCAGCTCCCAGTTCCCAGCTTCCCGGGTTCCTGCTCCTGCTCCTGCTCCTGGGTGGGAGTTAATTCGCCAAAGTCAGTAACCTCATCAGGCAAACGGCTAAGCGTCTGTCTGAAGGTCTGAAAGTCTACTGCTGCCGGGGTGTCGAGTCAACCTCGTCGTCGTCGACCTCATCGTCTACTCTGCTCTTCCGCCGCCACATTAAATTCACG